ACACACTCTAAACTGTGTGAATAAATATATGTTGGACACAAACGCGCAGAAAAATGTCCACCCTGCCACCTGACAGGGGAATTGCTGATCCAGGAGCAATGAAAAGCTGGAAGGCCACAATAAAGTCGCTGATTTTCCTCACCCCACCTCTGTCTTCTTGCACTCAACCGACGTACCTTCCTTTCCTCCCCCTACCAAGACCCTTTGGTTCCTCACCTCAGCCCTCCCTGTTCCCAAGCTGCCTGGATGACCTTCCATGCGGCCCATGTCGGTGCGAGGCAGGAAAAGCTATCGAGCAGATGTACGACACCTCATCTCATACGGGGGAAAATTGCTGTGCGAAATAAATACCAGGCCATCGCTCAACCCCCGCACGCACACATGCACGCACCCACACACACACATGCCTGGAGCCCTCCTGTGATCTCCAGTGCAGGAGGCAGAGCTCATGTTATGGAGCTGAGACATCTAGATTACCTAGTTCTAGCAGCAACGAGACACAACAGGGTGGCTTAGTGGTTGACTGTCGTAACCAGAAGACCAAGGCAATGAAACTAGCTAGCTCTGGGTGATGCTCTTTAGTCAACCCTGACCTCTGACCTCTCTGAAGGAAGGCAGCAGAACGCCCCTGGGGAGCACTCAAGTGTCTCATTAGTATCATTATTATTATTACTAAATCCTATGTTTCAGCCTAATTGCAGGAGACCAGGGGCCTCGTTTGTTAAAGGTTGCTATGCGCGAAAAACTGCCTCAATGGTGGTGAAATGTGCATTCGCATATAGATCTGAATATTTTCTTGCGTAGGAACACTGAAGTTTGTGAGTATGCAGTGTTTTAGGATGGAATCTACGCTGAGTTTTATAAATGAAGCCCCAGATCGGGGACCTAACCCAAACCTCTAGCAGGTTAACCTGGGGGTTTATTCATAACCCATCCTTTGAATTTCTGTGTTGCACTGAAACTCAAACACTGAACGACATCTTAAGTGTTTCAAAAAGTTCAGATTGAATCAATGAATAATAAGTGCCATGAAAGCCTTTGTAGATGTCACAAATTCAGCCTGGACCTTTATTTTTAACTTTTAAAATGCGCTCCCTGACTGTCTGGCCCAACCCATGTCCCACCCACAGTCCTTTCCCAGCACCAGTTCTGAAACTGAACTCATCCCCGCCTCTGTGGCTCCACGGTGGCTGAGATAATCCTGACTCTGATCGGCCATCCTAGCATGGCGGGTGGTGTGTTTAGCTTGCTATCTATCTCCTCTAGGGGGGAGACAGATAATTAGAGGTCTCACTCTCCTTAGAGTCATGACAGCAGCCCACTGATGAAGCCGCTCCAGTGTTAGCAAGGCTAAACCCTGACGCTAGCACTCTGCCCTGCTAACTCAACACACCCATGAAATATTAATGAGGAAAATGTAAGCATTTGTGAGTGTGCCCTGCAGTATGAGCTCACCTATGTGAGCATGTGCATACATGTGTGAAGATCCAACCAATGAATGAAATGCTCAGCCTCTCTTTGATGGGTCAAGTGGCAGATTTGTCACACCTGCCATTCCTCCATGTCTTCTAACAGTGCCTCTAAAGCTAACCGTTAAGTGAATGAAGGACTGACAGAAATGACTGACTGAGCCACACACATTTAACTCCTGCTGTGGCTGCCTATAAAAGCTCAGCCCTACACCGCTCCGCCGTTCTCACCTAAAGACGTGCCTGTGATCCGACTGTGATGAGAGGCCGTGTCGTCTTTGTTGGCCCAGGTACACATCAGATCACTGTACGCTGCTGCTGCCATGCTCCACTCTGCTCGCCCCCAGTGGACTAGGCCGTGACACCCCCACCCCCTTCCCCTCCCCAATGAACATGCATACACGCAAATCTGCACATACATGCATAAGCCCAATCAACCTCACACAAGCTCACTTGGTGGGGCGCATACAGGCAGGCACACGCGCACACACACGCACACACACATACCAGCCTGATATGCCTGCTCACATCAAAGAGAATAAACATTAATGGCAAATAGGTAATCTGCTCCTCTTGTCTGTTTTACATTTCAGGGCAAGATTGACTGCCTCTGGGGGACCTGGCCCTTCTCTGATTGAGGGCAGGAAAAAAAAGGAGAAAGAAAGAAAGAGAGGAGAGAGGGAGTAACCAACGATAGATGGTAAACACAAGATAGAGCATTATTCTTATTTCATGTATCTCTTTATTTTTTATTTATACACGAGAGATTGAAAAGAAGGTAATAATATTCCCTCCCTTCAACCCACGACGGCCCCACTATGGTCCTAATCTTCTCCCCAGCAATATTCTGATGCAGACGTTATTATTCTCATTTCTTCTGAATAATATCCCTCTCTCAAAAGCCTATCTGTTCTCTCTACCGGTGCTCGCTTCTGTCTTTCCTCTTCATTTTCCTCCTTTAGGATCTTCTCCACTCTCTCCCTCCCCTGCACTTTCCCGACCTATTCTCTCCACACTTTTCCATTCTCTTCTAACTTCTTGGCCCCTCTCTCTTTCTTCTCTTCAGTCGGTGCAGTCGGTCTCCTCTTGCTTTCATATTCTGAAGGTGGTGCAGGGTTGGTGTGGCTGGGGTGGGGTTGGCGGGCAGCACCTCATATTCTACGTGCGTATCAATCATGAGGTCCTGTCCACTCAATCCTCCTCTGATCCATCAGCCAGCCTCTCAGCCAGCTCAGGCGGCCTCATCCACACAAACACACACCACTGACTAATGGCAGTCAGGGCACCTGTACACAATACACACCAACCGACCACAGTGGATGCAGAATTTGCAGTGTCCCACAACAGAGCTGTACAATACAGCATTATCATACTCCTGGCACTGCAGAAAACACTCAAGCTGAATGGAGAATATTCATATAATTTGTCTTAATTATTCCCATTTAGGGCGTCAAATAAAAATCTTTAGTATCAATTAATGTCAAGATTCTTTTCAAATGAATCATTTGGTCTATAAAATGTGTATTCCAGTCCCAAGTGACCACTTCAGATAGCTGTTTCTTCCGTGCAATAGTCTAAAATCCAAAGAGATTCAGTTTACTCTCAAATAAGTCAAAGAAACGCTGCAAATCCTCACACTGAAAAAAACAAAAGGATTGTTCGATTATCAAAATTGTAGATTCTTTTTTCCAACAAATCAATTAACTGACTAGTCATTTCAGCTCTAGTCCTATTTATTAGATGACAAGTTTTCCATTAGATTGTTCAGATGCAAAAACAGCAGCACACATGTGGCCGTCAACAACAAAGTTCCGCAGACACAAATTGCAGCTGCCATCACATAACTGCATAAATTTATCATCAATGCCATCATTTTGCACATCCCCACCTCCAACACCGCCTCCACCTCGTAACATCCCACCACGCACTCCCACCACCAGCTCAACCCACCTGCTCCTCGCTCACCGCTAAGCCGATTACACAACGCAACCCTCCTAATCACAGTACAGCGTTTGTAAACACCGATGTCATCGACTGTAGTTCTAAATCTCCCAAATCCCCTCCACCCTTCATCTTACACCACACCAGTAATGTCATTTTCGACTGATGTTTTAATCACCAGTGCCGCTGTGAGCGACTACCACTGAACCACAGCGAGTAGGAAGAGGATGTGTGAAAACTGCTTGGCCAAAGTCTCTCCATAAATTGGTTTCAGTGCAATGCGGAAATTTGTTGCTTGTTCTGAAGCCACAAAATGTTGTCTGACCATTAGGTTGGTGAGTTGAAGAGTGGTATATTTTTGTGGCACCATCAGCCACCCTTATGTCAAAACGTCTCTGTTGCATCATCTGTTCACCCTGACACCTCTGTAATGAAGATATTAAAACACTTTTTCCTTTGTGATTAAAATGATCTCTGCTCTCCCCCGCAGCCATACACAAGTAAACAAAGGGCCTTGCTCACGCATATATTATGACAACCTTTTCTTCAATTGTGCCTCTGTGCATGTTTTTGTGTGTGACAATGCATGTGTCCACGTGTGTGTGTGTGTGTGTGTGTCTGTGTGTGTGTGAGGGATTTAAAAACAGCACAGTTTACTGGTTCATTAGCACCAGATTAGCTATGCTAATGACATGGACCACCACACACAGAGACTTTGCCATTATGTTTCTGAAAGGGATACACAACTGACTATGGCTGTGCGTGTGTGTGTGTGTGAGAAGTGCGGTGCAGGTGTGTACACATTAGTTTTGCATGAATAAGTTGCATGAATAAGTCCCTTGCAAAAAAAATTCTAGCTACACCAATAATAATCATAATTCAGCAAAGTATGTATGGGTAATGATGTTTTAATTGCTTTATTGAGTGAAAGGAGAGCTGCCGCCAGAAGAGATTTGGGAAGGATTGGACTGGTGTTGCATATGACCTGCTGTCTCTGTGGGTTTCTGTTTCATTAATACTCGCACAGTAAGACGGATAGTCAGGGCAAACTGAGAGACGACGAGTACACGCAACATACTAATCCAGACCTAAGATGCAAGTTTCCATGTGGCTCCATCTGATGACATGAGGCATAAATACGAAATGATGTGTTTGTTTACACTGAAGTAAACTTCCAAAAGTCTTATTGCTTTTTTAATAAGAAAAGTCTGCAATGGCATTCCACATACTGATTTGTAATACAAACACCCAAAAAGCGTTTCAAGTCGAATTTTTGGTCACTTCTAAATGATCCTTCTCTTCATGTATTATATTATTTGTCTTTAGTATAAACATGTTGTTAAAAATATTGAAAAACACAGAAAGTGTTAATACTATTATTGTTAAGACTTGGCAACAACATGAAGTATAAAATATTCACAAGCAAAACCACAAAAGCATCAAAAAATGTCAGTTCAAGGTTTTAAAAAAAAAAAAATAACACTGTCTGGGTGGTAATGCAATCCAAGACTAGATAAAAAATTAAATTGCATAGAATAAACACTGAGCTGTGAATGTGTGTGTGTGTGTGCGTGAGAGTGATGGTGTTACCTCCGGTCTCGGCTGCGTGACCTATGTGAGCGGTGGCTCCTCCCTTTATCTCTCTCCGCACTGCGACTCCTCCTCTTGCGAGATGAACTGTGGGACGAACTGCTGCTGGAACGTCTTCTTCTCCTGGAGCACAAAGACCAAAAACATATCAATTTAAATTCTATTATTGGCAGAAGGATCCTTAGAATAGAAAATCAATCAGACATCAGGGTTCAGGTTTCTACAATTAATCATTTTGTTTTGGGCAAATCAGCATCAGTGAAACATGTAAATTTATTCAGAATGCTTGTCCACGCTGGGCATTTTCATGAAAAAAATTGGTTCCCAAAATTACTAAGAATATACAATTATTATTAGTAATCGGAATTTTACCATGGTCCTTCAGCTTTATTGCACAGTTTCTATTAGTTAAGTATCCATAAAACAAACTTTTTTACAGAATCAAACATTCCCATATCGGCTCCCTCCTCACTTTATCTTTATCCTCAACCCTGCCATTCTCTGTGTTCATTCACAGCATCATCTGAAATTCTTGCCTCTCTCACATAAGTGAATGCTGTATTCCTAATTTGTTTTGCTGTTCATTTCAAGAGCAAATATGTCCTAATGTCCCAGACAACCTCACCTATTATCAGCAGTGCTGACGGCTACTTTGCATTAGTAAACACGTTTGTCTACGGCTGGGAGCAGCAGAGCCATGTGGGCTGCCCTACAGTTCCTCCACAGGGGCCCTTTGGTGCTCTGCTGCTCTTTAATGTGGGTACAGCAGTGTGTGTAGCATCTATTTTCCAAACACCACTCACACCGCGTTCCTATTGATATCATGTAGCAGGAGGCATTTATGGGGGTGAATGTAAATGCAGAATCCCCCCTCTTCTACTGCGCAAACAGTTTGAGAAATATTCATAATTTAAAATCTCTTCTTTTGTTTCACCAAAGCCAAAAATACCCAAATCTTTTTAGCACACACACAAAAAAAACACATACGCAGTCCTATGGGAGCTGTGCGAGATAGAGGAGAAGAGAAGAAAAGGGAAAGCAATACAAATAACATAGAGGCTGAACTATCAAACCAGATTTGTACCACTTAGAGTAGCGCAGCAAAGAACCATTAGTATTCCAAAGGCTGGATCCCATGAGCGGGGCCTTATGAAATAAGTTCCACAGCCCTCACACAACCACTTCACACATTACGCAGAAGAAACACACAGTAGTGAGTTGAGGGTTTTTGGAAGGTGGTATACACTCACACATTTCCTCAGAAGCCTGCGCGAAACGTAACGTAATAAAAACATAATGGCTCAAACACGTGCGAGTGGGAAGTTCTGGTTAACGCAGAAGCTTTTCACATGAATACAACACTTAACAAGTTGGATTTCATGCCTCTTGTTCGCTCACACTTTCCCCCCTGTCTTGCTCCTTCTTTGTATCACACACACATAGTCACGGACACAATTACTCACTCTACACATACACGTTCAATATGCAGTCATGATGTCACCAGCCAAGAACATAAGTACCCTTGTGTTTTACCACATGTGAGGTCTCTTTACACCACCACATTGTATGTATGCAGGTTGAAAATGGCACGGAATCTGTGTCCTCTTTCATATGACCCTATTTAAAGGAACTAGCTTCACACAGACACATACACACAAGGTCTTGGTTTAATTGATCAAAACATATGGCTAATTGATGAGGGACTGTGGTCCCAGGGTTTACACTGCCCACCCAGCCCCACCCCATACAGACAGGCAATGACTTCCAATCAGCAGTAATGGACCTTGACCAAGGCTCATAAATAATTACTATCAACTGGCCTTGTCTGAACAGCCACACACAGCCAGTGGCAGCTGTGGATGGATGGAGGAGGCCAGGTCCAGCCACCAGCCACTTGTAAAGATGTCTGAATATTACTGAACCTCCTCCTCCCTCTGAAACTGCTAAATAACAAAGTGCGGTATTTTGTAAACATGAGGAGAAGCTTATAAAACTGGTATAAGCTTGTAACCTTTTATGTCTCAGCTAACGCAAACCTTCAGGTTTCATGACACCAAATGAGGCATTTAAAACAGCCACATCTATCCTAAATGTCTAACTATGTTTTATTTTTAAAATGACTTGTAGTGTAAACACAAAGTAAACAGGCTAGTTTCACTTTTTATAATTGTGATTATAAACAGTATTTTTGTGGATATCATACAACTATCTAAAGTCGCCGTGTAGGTTCAATCAAAACTTGACTGTTATATTTCATATCTTGGTTCTCTCAGCAGAGGCCTTATCTGGGATTCATTGTAAACAGTATGGAGGGACACTACACTGAAAACTGGAAAAGTAAAATATAAACAACAGTAATTTTAAAATCAAAATAGAGCACTTGCTTAAATTGGGAATTCAGCAACCATTTATGTGATCTCTGGCTTTTAAATTAAGTCAATGCATATTGAGGAAAACACAGAATTATATAAAATCCAAACTAATAAGTATTCCAGTTATCTCAGAGTAATTTCTCCCCTTACTTGTTCACCCTCTGGATGCACACATATGTCTTTGAAGCAAAGCAATACCAGTCACATAAATGCCATTTCAATATCAGGCCTTTGGTATAGAGTCCTGGTACAGACCTTTTTTTTACAGCAGCCAATTTGACATGAATTAGTAGGATAAACACAAGTGTTACCAGTGATACTGATTGATGGTGCTGCTACAGACCCTTTTCATAGCAGACATTTAGAAAATAGTCACATTAATGATGACTGCATCCCATTTAGGTGAGACTGTTTTAGTGCTCCGGCGCTGTGCACGCTCTCTCACGGTCACGTGGCACTTAATTGAATAGAGCTATTGTTATTGTTATTATTTAGACCTGTGCTTTTCCTGCTTTGATAGGTCAAAAATTCTGCCGTGGAAAATGGCATATCAGACTTATATTGACAGTAAAGCTATTAGAACTATACTGATAACGTGGTTTAAAATTGATATCGTTAAGTATAATGGTAAGAACTCAGCTACAGCTGGGTTGTCGCTTCAACCAAATTACATCAGACTCCTGAAGTTTAACAACTGTTAAACTGACTGTGGGAGGGTTAGTCTTAACGCAGTGACCCTGTAAAAAGAAAGCAAGCCACAGGTGACACAATAAACCAACATAATAAGACAAGAACTGTAACCACAGAGAAGATGAGTCATATAAGTCAGGAGCTGGCTCTGCTGGACAATTTGTTTTGGTGGTACTTAATGAATGGCCATTGGAAAAGTGAATTCTAACTTTCTTTCCATCACAAGAACGTCTTGCTCAAGGACACTTCAGCAGGACAGTCATCCACTCAGTACTCATCCGTGCCACCTCTGATCAGAGCAGATAAGCTTGTTGTTCAGTCTCACCTCCTCTCTCTGTCTCTCTCTCGGTCCCTGTCTCTGGAGCGAGAACGGCTCCGGCGACTGGACCTCCGACTCCGGCTGCCGGCCACCCTGCTGCCGGAGGATGAGGACGAAGACGAGGAAGAGGAGGAGGAACGGCGACGCTGTTGTTTTTTCTTCCTCCTGCTCCGACTGTCATCCTCACTGTCAGACGAGCGCCGACCCATGCTGGCTGACTCTCAGCTGGCACAACACACAAGAGTAGGGTTACAGATGAGCTAGCTCCCTTGACAACTTTTAGCAACACCTTTATACACAACCAAACCCAGCGTGGCGAGGTGAACATACTAAGCTATTTACCAAAGCCAAGAGTACATTTATTGACCTACCTTATCGACAAGAAGTCTCATTAATGTCGCTACTTTGGGATATAAAGTTAGCTGTTAAGCTAGCTAATACAACAAATGGCTTTTTTTTTTTTTTTAACAACCACACGGTGGGAAGTAATAGTTTGTCATTTAAAATCACCGTCACAGCCCCAAGACCCCCCGTTGTGGCTCATGCCGTAAATACTGAAGAGATACATTTAAATAAAGTGTGTTTTCTGTGGAGGCTAGTTAGCAGGCTAACAGCGCTACCTCCACTAACGTTGGGCTGCAGCTCTTGTTTTGACTGAAGGCGTCTCGTCGCTTTACAGTAAACAGCTCTCACACTGCAGTCAGCAAACGTTACAAGGCAGACTGAGGTGTAGCAATAACAAACGACAAGTTACCTTGAAAGGAAAAGCCCGCTGCTCACCTTTAAATCGCTGTGAACCTCCACAACCCAACCACTGCATGCACTGCTCACCAGACTGTACTCGTCGAACCGGAAATCATCGATCGAGTCCAGACAGAAGAGTCACACACAGAGCGATCGATCGCAGGACTTGCTCTCATCTGGTATCATGTTTGAATTAAAGTGTTTCATGATGTGCCCTGAATGATATCTTCAGCCTCAAATGAGCCCGAAATAATGCAGCATTTTAGTTGTTGTCACTTTAACTATAATCTAATAGAGGGAAATGAATATTAATATATAAGCCAACATTAACAAAGTAGCTTGGTTTTATTTAGAGGCTTAAGGTCACATCTTTATTCACTGGGCATACAGGTAAAGAATTATATTTGTATTATTACATGACTATTTGAGGGAGAGAAAAACAACTTCAAAACTGGTTTCTGAATGGTGTTTTATCCAGTGTGGCCTAATATACTGACACCTAAATCTAGAGTCGTGAGGTCAATTAATGGAGCAGCAACATATCTTCTCCACTTATTATTTTTAACCCTTATACTGCATATATCTTCCATTTTTTATTTCAGTCTCCAGTCAATTGAAAATATTCAAAATTAATTGGACATATCAACAGCCTGGCCTGCTTATATTTCCGTTTTGATCAGGCAATGCCCACAAGTACATCACAAATAAGCAAACGCCTGTGTGAGTTATAGGTCTGTCAATGATCATTTGCATGAGGTCGTCTTCTCAGATAACAGGGTTTTACACCAACATATACTATACACACAGAGAGCTGCAAGGGCAGACAGAGCTTTCAAAACAAATTTCAGCAAAGTGGAATAATTAGCCTCATTACTTCTTGAAATTCAAAAAACACATAACGGGAGTGAAGGTGAAACGACCACTGCTTCCCTCGACAACACGAGTGAACGAATCAATAACGTGCGCAAGTGCACCAGTTAATGGGGGGGGGGTATTTCACTACTTAAGGTATACAAGAGACTGCTTATCACTGCGATTAGGAATTCATCCTGCTTTGAGATGCAGCAGAAATAATAGTAATTAATGCCTAAAGGTTCAAGCTGAAACATCGTTAATATTTAATTAGGGGAATTGTTAGAGCCCTTGTGTGGAAATAGGACTTTATATAGATTATCAATAAACACGCTTAATTTTGCATCAAATTCATCCCGACGTTTTCAAAATCCCGCTGTATCCTGTTTCTTGTCTGGGCTATATGTTGCCTCCTCTTCTCACTTAATTGCTCTCTCTCCGCGGCGTCCGCTTACCTCTGCCGCAAGTGAGCCATTGTTTATTTATTTTTTGCAAATATAGGCAATCATTTCAGCGGGAAAAAAGGGCGAGTTGAAAACGTTAATTAGTGAGCCCAATGGCAACGCACCGTAAGAGGCATTATAATTAAACGTTTAGCTGCTATTTAACATCCTAATGGCTTTAAAAAGTCCACTGAGAATTAATATTAAGCGATATAGTCTCACTAATGATGACAATTTAAAATACATAGGCCTAATTGCTGATTAGAAACATAAAAACAACGCTGCATAACGTGGAAACATTAAATTATTTGTCCCCCCCAGTCAGGCTTATTTCACACATTTTAATAGGCTACACAGCCGTGCATGTTCAATAAAGGTAATACAAGATAATGATAATAATAATCATCATAATTTCGTTTGGCATTCTTGTTAGAATATCAAAATAGGCCTCGAACTGCAGCAATTATTTTATCATGTCAACGCTTTTAATATAGGATTTTTTTCCCTTTTCCAATTTGTTTTTGCTGTGAAATTCCGTTTCAAATCAAAAGCAACAACGTGGATGCACAGAAACACGCCGAAAACTTAAATAATAAATGCTGCAGGCCTAAAGCCAACTGTGTGCAACTATGGTTAAAGCCAAATATGTTCACTTGAGCTTCCTCTGAAGCTCCTTGTATAAGTCGTTGCTGATCCTCTCGGCATTCCCAGCTGGTCCACTTTTTTTTCCTTTTTTTTTTTACCTCTTTTCTCTTCGTGTCACCGTTGTGACTTATTTCCCCCCCAGATCACAGAGATATACTGAGGAAGGACTCCTCATCCATGTGCTTCCCTCTCTCTCTCTCTCTCTTGTCATTTTCGGATTTTTTTAAGCCACACCCCTGCAGAGAGAGAGAGAGAGGGAGAGAGAGAGAGAGAGAGAGAGAGAGAGAGAGAGAGAGAGAGAGATCCATGACCATCTCCCGGGTGTTTAAAAAACTAACTCAGGACAATAGCAGCGAATGAGCGCTTAATTAAATTAATTAGTCCTTCTTGTCAATCTCGGATTAATGGCCAATAGCGACGGTGCTGCTTAATGTTTTGGTTTTTTTTACTGCTCTTCTCTCTCTCTCTCTCTCTCTCTCTCTCTCTCTCTCTCTCTCTCTCTCTCTCTCCTCCCATATCAGTGAAGGGGAAGGGGGGCTCATCCCGGCATCCTGAGGGGAGGTAATTTGCACGGATCAAGGGGGCAAGGCGCCGCAAAGTATAAATACTGTGACTTCAATAGAGGATCACCAGCAGGTTCCCAACTCCGCTACCAAAGGAGGAGGAATTGGCTGAGAAGATATATTCTTTCTATATTTTTTACCTTCTTCCAGAGTTGGCAGCATCATCTCGTCTCATTTTCAAGGGGTCGACTTTAAAACGAGCCACACCATTGATGTCTTAAGCTGTCGTGGAGCAAAAGGGGAGAGAGAGAGTGTGTGTGTGTGTGTGTGTGTGAGTGAGTGAGTGCGTGGTGGTGGTGGTGGTGGTGTGTGATTTTTTTTAAAGAGGAGAGAAGGCAGGGATGGAAGAGCTCACCGCTTTCGTGTCTAAGTCTTTCGATCAGAAAGTGAAGGAGAAGAAGGAAGTGATAACCTACAGGGAGGTGTTGGAGACCGGGTCGACGCGAGCAGGGAGCAGGGAGTCTTTATCCGCGGAGCCGGGGAGCCGAGAGGAGGCGGCAGCCGTCACCCGGAACGTTGCGCTCTCGCCGGGCAGGGAAACGGACATGCTCGGCCCGGAGAGAATCAGGGACGCCGGGAGCCCCAAACTCATTGACGGTAGGACTGCATGCTGTAAGCCTACACAGTCTTTTTAGGGGATGTCTGGAGGTCTTATAGGAGTGCATACCCTGATCACGGGCACGCTTTTATTTGCGAAACAGTTTAAAAAAAAAAAAACATCTTAATTCTGGTTTATATGATTATAAACAGATCATAGTGTCATTCTTGATGTAAGTTACAGGATGATCGAGCTCTGTAAGTGGAGAAATCTAATGGTGCTTTTCTGAAAGTGTAGCCTATCATTTATTTTTGTTCGTGTTAGTTGTTGCACACTCAAAATCGTCCTCTTTAAAGGGTTTTTTAAAAAAGCCTCTTTTTTTCCCTTTTTTTTTTTTACCAGACTTTACTGCTCATAGTATTTTAAATTTGAATAAGGTGCTTGGAGCCTAGTAATGTCTTACTGTGGTGCAGTTTAAAAGTTTCAAATAGTGCATCAGAAAAGGGCCCACCACAGTGAACTATGATAAACAACAAGGCCTCCTGTGGCAGCAAACTATTAACCATCCTTCTATAATATATGATTTAAGCCAAATGCATTTTTATATCACAACTTTATAAAAGTAACAGACTTAAAGGTGAATCGTGGTCCTCGGTGTGTCTTAAGTTTATTCTACTTCAGGCTGATTAGAAGCCTTATATCAGTGTAGCCATTTTTATTCATTAGGCGTCACTGATTGTCAGTCCTCTCAGGAGTCTGTCTTTCATATATAATGTCAATGTCTCAACGAAAAGAAGGCTCATCAAACACCTGACACACAGATCACTGCACATGAAAGGTGATCGAGTCCTGTCATTTCTGTAGTCGCTCGCTACACATAGATGTCTGTTTCCAGGTGTGAAAGCCCATCAGGTGCAATAGCAGATGGCTTGAATGTAAGCCTGATGATCTCATATTACAAATATGAAATAGACAGTAGGTGGAAGAATTGTTTTTCGTTGCTGCCCTCAATAATTCAGTGTTTATTTATATATAATTGCACAACGAAAATAACAGCAAATAAAAAAACAGGGAGTCAAGATAAAATCGTACTTTAAACGGGAAAGCTTTATTTATATAACAATAACTGCTTTTGTGTTAATTTGTTTTCAAACAGGCAGATTAAAATTGTGTTAGAATTATTTTTTTTACATTTTAAGAAAAGTAAAGCAGCTGCTCAGCTGTCCTGTGCAGTCTGCTCGCTGTGCATTATAAAAAACCTGGACACAATGTGACAACACACAGGACCAGATATCTTAAGAGTTGGGTGGCTTGTTAAAATGACATCTGTTCGTCATGGGCAGCGTGGTTAAAAGCGGAACTGCGACAAGCATGTATCAGACATCCAACAGTGGGCACAGTGTTGCATATTTATAAGCAGTTAATAATTAAAGAGCTTTATGTAGCTCTACAAAACATCCGAGGTCTGATAGCTCTGTGCTCTTTGAGGGCTGGGAGGGCATGTCTTTCTTTCTTTCTTATCATCTAGGTTTTATTTCAATTTGGTCTGGGTCGATAATAATTTCTCGCTTCTTCTTGTGAAGATCATGAGTATTTAGTAGCTGTAGTCACGGGTGTATTTCAGTTCTTCTACCCTTTAATCTGGAGTTGCACACCCATTTGTTTGGCTCATTTGCACTGTGTGATTAAGCTCATGCATTAAGCTGTCAGCTATACGATTTATATGAGAATAAACACTATTTTTAAGGGTAAAAAACACATTAAAACATTTAATAAATATATGTCAGTGAAGGCCAGTGATGGCCATAGACTGGGTGTCACAGTACAGCTCCATGATGTTTGATGTCTCTTCTCGCTGCCACACAGGCAACACGGACGTCAAAGAAAGGAAAGAGGACTCGAAGCCTATAGAGGACGAGGCACAGACTAAAATCAAACAGAGGAGAAGTCGGACTAACTTCACATTAGAGCAGCTAAACGAGCTGGAGCGGCTCTTCGATGAGACCCACTACCCGGACGCCTTCATGCGGGAGGAACTCAGCCAGCGACTGGGACTGTCGGAGGCCCGAGTGCAGGTAGGGACAGTCGTTTCAACTGTATGAAAAATTATGTAAAAAACAATGTAATTCTAATATATTCATAATGATAATAATGAGGTAAATGGCCCTTTTAAAATCTAAAAGTACGTGATCAAAAATCTGAAAAATATAGAAAAATTTAAACATATTTGTTATCGTTATTATAACTATGGCAGTGTGAGTTTATGAGTGTATGTGTAAAAAAACAATGGATGGCAGTGACCTACATGCTTAAATTGAAATAAAAATAATAAAAATACAAGTAATAATAATAATAATAATAAGAATAATAATAAGAATAATAAGAAGAATAATAAGAAGAATAGAAGAATAAATAATAAGAAGCATAGACTCTCACGTCCCTGTCCTTTTTTTCTGGAGGGATTTTAATCATCTATTCACAGATTTGTGTTATGATAAACTCGCTGTCACGCATAAATACAGTCTGAGGGCTGATAACATTTTGTTTTTAAGGAGGGTTTTCATGTTGAAGATGAGCACACACATACACTTGCCAGACTACATCAGGCCTGAATTTGTGAAACGGTTCAGGGGAGCCCCAGAGGAGTGTTTGTAAGTTTTAATAAGTTGCTAAGATTATTATTTTTTTTTTAAAAAAGGAAGAGAAAACGGAGCTCGCCATCAAGATGTTATTTATTTTCCCCCATCATTTTCTGATTAGAGTATTTTTCGCCCAGCATGTTTTGATGAATTAATTTGTGTCCATTATCTCAATTAGACCCTGCTTGTATCACGAGAGTCGATTTAATCTTTATTGTCCAAAATCCACCGAAACAAATACGCCTACAAATATTTGCCTTCAGTTTCTGGGTGTATGTTACCAAGGCCCTGTTTGTCAGAGAGGCTGTCGTTTTTCATGGGGACAGACCATCTGCGCAGAAACCCAGTAAGGGGTTCAGCCAGTCAGGAGGGTGGGAGGGGGGGCCCCAGACATGTCTTGTGTAACGGGAGCTGGGGGGGACAATGAACATATAGACAACTCCTCTCATCTGATTTATCAAAACCCTATAATATCTTATCCCAGGCTCTTTTTATCCCGTGTGCCCCGGCCCAGGGGAGGGCCGAGCATTTGTCTCCATACTGAATATGGCGGTCGTTATGGGAAAAAAATAAATCATAAAACGGGCCAAAAAAGATCTCCATCCCAAAACTCGCCCTCCAACCCCCCTGAAAAAAAGTTAAAGCCAGCTTTTTGCAGGGCTCTCCCGGCCTGAACTGGAATCTCACCAATAAGGCGTATTGTGTCCCGAACAAGGAGCACAGCTCGGGGATTTGCATAAATTATGTATTATTTTCTACCAAAATCAAGAGCGGCTCCCTCTCTCTTTCCCTCTGTCTGAGCATCATATCTTTTTACCAGTTGCATGCAAAGACCACACATTTATTTGGATTTAATTTATTTGTTTTTTGTAATTCTACCTCAGTCAATAACAGCAGACCATTTGCTTTTTATCATCGCAATAAATTATACCTGAAGCGTGCACAAAAGGACTTCCGATTGACATATACTGTGGACAATAAATGAAGCCAGCTGACAGACAAATCAATAAGATATTTCAATCATGCTTCCACTCTCTCTCTCTCTCTCTCTCTCTCTCTCTGTGTGTGTGTGTGTGTGTGTGTGTGTAGTTATATGGACCTATAATGTAAGGGAGATTGTAGATTGACATGTTGCATTGTGGGCTAATTCAGCCCGAGCTTTGTCTGGGAGATTCAAAGCAGATTAATCGTTTAATCTGTGTTTCAAGGCGTTTCTCTGAAATTGACGCTTGTCGATTTCAACAGAAGGAAAAGAGAAGTGAGCTGTCTTTGAAGCGCGATTTTTGTGTGTGTGTGTGTGTGTGTGTGTGTGTGTGTGTGTGTGTGTGTGTGTGTGTGTGTGAGCAAGTGCGTGTTATGGCGGTGATTAGACAAAACTGCGAGGCATTTAAGCGTTTCTCTGACATGGATTTTTCTGCAGATAAGGGTAATTAATTTCAGCGGTCATTTAATGAGAGGGAGATGGAAAGAGAAAGAGGGAGACGTTCTCAGATCGCCTTGCTCTGATGTCCAAAACCGTAATAGCATTGCTGCTATTCGATATCTGAGAGTCCCATTCAACTCTTCGGGGACACTAATCCATAGAAAGATGAAACCAACGCTGACAAGGTTATTTATTATAGTCCAATAGTCCTGCACATTTCCAACAAGGGTGTTTCTATTCTATCCTAATAAGGTTTTAATGCCCCCCCTTCCTCCTCCTCCTTTTCGCGGATTTACTACTTTCCATCTTTGCTCCACTATTTTCTCCTCTTTCTCTTCAACAACCGCCCCCCCCCCCCAACTCTGCCTTGTTGTAGGCTAAATGTAATAATTCAAATCTGGGGGGTTAAGCAGTGTCATTAATATTTCAGTGCTCCTCGGGGATATTGTTTTTCTGCGGTTGTTGTCACTTTGAGAGGAATTACACATGGCCTCACAAGCAGCTGCCAATCAGTAGGTCTCTAATTAATTTCTGTCCCTGCAGGTTTGGTTCCAGAATAGAAGAGCCAAATGCAGAAAGCAGGAGAACCAGTTACATAAAGGTACGCTTTTACCCTGCATGCTCCCACAAACACAAATAGGGCTTATTCCTGTTGTATTCAATGTTGTTCTACACGCTCAAATGCAAACAGCATCCTTCTACTACTCCTATTTGTGTCCTGGTATAATTTTCAGTTAATTAAGCCATCAAAAGCACTGTGATTTCTTTAGTGACTGTTTATCTTGGACACTATTAAAGTTTACACCGACAGTTTACTGCTCGTTATTCAGTCATGCAGTTTACTTTTATTGTGGTTTTGAATTTTCTCCTAACAATTATGCCATCATCTGTGCTTTTGCAGGAGTCCTGATTGGAGCAGCGAATCAGTTTGAAGCTTGTCGTGTAGCGCCATATGTCAACGTGGGGGCTTTGCGGATGCCATTCCAACAGGCAAGTTACTTTGAAGCGTCTAGTCTTAAAAACCAGACCAATCCCCCGGACTGCTGTCTTGGCACAGGCTCTGCCCAAGTGCTATGCAGAGACTCCAGTTCCAATGTAGGGGGGTAACTAAACTCTTATTACCACACTGACAAAAACACTGTGCCAGCACAGCGTGGCCTGTACAACCTAATTGGAGAATTCCCTCTATTGTTTTATGGATCATTTTTATGCCTATTTTACTGGAGCTAGTAAACATATTAGCAGGCCTGGTGCTGCAGGATGAAGGATAGGACAGGAGTTTCTTATTTTCTGTGGTAGGAATGGTTTGGTTTTTGATTGATTGAACTGTGCACCTGTATGTTTGGGACATGGTGGTGAGAGTCTGGACAGAACAGTCAAATGCATTTAATTTTTTAGTGAAAGTCCAGTCCTCACTTTGAGCACCACTGGTTGAGATTAGAGTCCATGCTATTGATTAGCAAATAAAAAATCTGATTTGATTCACAAGAGCTGCAGTAGTTAACCCCAGAACCACATGGCATCCAGTGATATTGCTCAATGACACTTGGTTGAACCCTGAAGTCGAGGTTGGCCTGTTTAACCACCAGGTCAACCTGCCTCCTCACACGAGTACACAGTTAATAGTTGAACCGCATCTAAAAGTCAGCACCAGTGAAATGACCCTTCACACAACCCACTGCAAAGTTAACGCATGTTCTCCCCCCTTCTCTCCCCATCCGTGCGTCCCGTCCCGTAGGATAGTCATTGCAACGTACCGCCCTTCTCCTTTCAGGTGCAGGCGCAACTGCAGCTTGACAGCGCCGTGGCCCACGCGCAGCACCACCTGCACTCTCACCTGGCAGCGCACGCGCCCTACATGATGTTCCCCGCGCCGCCGTTCGGGCTGCCGCTGGCGACGCTCGCGGCCGAGTCTGCCTCCGCCGCCTCGGTGGTCGCCGCCGCCGCCGCCGCCAAGAACACCAGCAAGAACTCCAGCATCGCCGACCTGAGACTGAAGGCCAAAAAGCACGCGGCCGCGCTGGGACTGTGACGCCAGGTAGACGAGAGGGCACGAGGCGTGCACGCTCTATCTGCCGCGCTCTCGCGACTGAGAGACGCTGAACACAAACGCTTACAAAGTGAAAAAACCCAAGGACTAAAGTGAGAAAAAATTATCCACGGACGATATTTATGTTTTTTTCAAATGAAGGACGACGAGTATAACTATAAAAATATAGGCTATTTATGAGATAAAGAAAAGACAATGAAAAAAAGAGACTGTGACGTGATAGCCTACACAGATGTGATTTTTTGGACGCCAAAAAAAAAAAAAAAAAAAACACAGAGAGGCGGATGGGATGGGTCCTTCTCTGTAGCCACATGGCCGAGGAGGGCGACTGGACGCCCCGAGGAGGAGCAGGAGGATGCAGCTGGGACGGTCGATACTTTGTCAAACAAGGCGAACCATTCTGCAGTTGTTTTATTCTGTTTTAATATTATATTATTATTGTTATGATTTCATTTTGAACCTATATAGAGGCTGGCCTCGTTATAAAAACACGTTCTCTGTTTAAAAAAAGACAGAGCGGGAATTCTTTGACAAAACGGAGAAGAAAAAAAAAAGGACAATATTCGAAGTGTTTCTCCTTCTTCTGTTTCTTGTCCAAAATTCAAAATGCCCAAGCAGTGTTTGCATGAGTTTGTCTTCACGGATGACGTGATGTGAGCCATCTCACCCCCCCCCTCTCTCTCTCTCTTCTGCCCCCCCTGTCTTCCTCTTTGCCCGCCTTCCTCTGAGGAAGGGCAACTCTCACTTGATTGTTTGGCCTATTTGACCTTGTTTGGACCTCCTCTTGGTAAAGGTGAAACTAGGCGACACACCAGAAATGTGAGATTATAATATATGTGTAGGCTATGCTGAGGATAACCCGATCTAGTGTCCATGTAAGGTGGTGATTTGTCCCCTTTTAAAGGAGAGCATTATGTCATAAATGCCATCTTCAACACAGAGAACAAACGAGCAAATGACAGTAACACGAGGACTGTATGCGAACCGGTACGGGCACGTGTAAAATATGTTTATACACAAGAAACATGCATTATTTTTATTATTTAGTGGCTTTATGAATGCCTTGTGGGGAATTTGTTCATTTTGTATTTTACTTTATTTCCGTGTATTAAAAAATCATGTGCTTTCTGTATGTAATTTTGATGTTTTTATAACAGTGAAAGTGAACTTACTTGAGGCACGGATTTCTAAAAAAAAAAAAAAAAAAAAAAGTCATCATGAAATTGTTTTACTTTTTCCATCACATGTGAAACGTGAATCCACCTAAACAAAATGTTTTTCGTTCCTACAATAAATTAACTAAAGTTTCTTTAATGAGTTGACATTATTTTTATTTTTTATTCTTAATTGGCATTTATTAGGTAAATTATTATTATTATTATTATTATTATTATTATTATTATTATTAATATTATTATTATTAATGTTGTTGTTGCTACCGGTGAAACTTTTAGGGCAATAGATTTTTAATAATTCATGCCTGTAGCTATAGGTCTTTTGATAACGTCACAGTTGTGACAGGCCCGTTTAGTCAGGAACATGGGTGTCTGTAGCTGCTCCCATGCCAAACCGATGCATTATTCATAATTTGGTTATGGAGCGTTTGGAGAGGAGGACTGGTAATTTCCAGTACAAGCTAGAGAAACTGCCAGATAAAGGATAGAGAGACAGGGGCCGTTCAGTGGCTCAAAGATAAAGTTTTGCAGCACTGAAGCACTTGAAATGCACACAATTATTATTATTTTACCCCTAACAGGCAACTTATTTAGATTTAAAACCACTGAGTTATTGTTGCAATAATTAAATGAGCTAACCCCAGCGGCCTAATGATTATATAAAACAAAGAGGCATTTTTAATTTAATTATAGCCACAGTTTGTTTGTGGTGTCAGGTTACACATAGCAGCCTAAATGTCTGGATTATATTCGGCCTAAATCAATAATGTTTTTTTGTTTTTTCCTATCAGCAACATTTAAGATATTGTCAGTAATAAACATTTTTACATAAAGTAATATAGGTTAATGGTATTCGATGTAATTCCAGTTGTGGATCCCCATGTTCCATCTTGAATCTGGCATCCTGCCCATCTCCACTGAATGAAAATGTTGCCGGTTTATGTGTCATCACCTTAAGTTTGGCATTATGCATGAAAATATACAGGCAGCAGCACACAACTAAAACAAAGCCAATGTCTTTGTAAAAAATAATTTATTAACGCCTGCCTCACTTGACTTACAAATCTGCCTGATTCACTTCCTGACATCTTAACCGCCTCTTATTGAACATTTAATAAACACCTGACACGGGAGCCTATAATTATAGGAATCCAGATCGCATTACCCTTCCGATATTTCCACACAAAACACAATGTCTTTAGCTATTAATTAATACTGATCTCACAGAGTCTGCACTAGAGTCTGGAGTGTTTGTGTATCTCGCCGTTTGGGGCAGGATTTAGACGCCAAAACTATTGAATTATTGATTTTGAGCCTCGCCAGTAATGGAGGAGACGGAACTGGGAAACTGCTGAGCCGGGAGCGTGCACAGCTACCCTGCGATGGAACAGACACATCGGGGTCGGGGGCGCGCCTGTCCTGTCACCGTACCGCTTACTTGTAGTGACCACAGAGTGAGGTCAAGTTCATCAGAGTCGTTATGTCCCATTAATTACATCGCTCAGACATTATTTACTACATGTTTAGTTTTCCAATGGAAAAGTTAGGCCTATAGGGCATCCAATTTTGTTTTAAGGCATATCAATAAATAAAAATACTCATTTTGAATTTTAAAAAATGGTGATTTAAAGGTTAAGAAATATAGATCCTAGTAATATGAGATTAACAAATGCCATAAACCACAAGTGTCACTCCTTATTGAGTACACCACAAGGACATTGCTGTCCTTGTCCTGTCCTAGCTTAATGAAAACTGCAACAACCATTTTATGAAGGGATAATTAATTTCCAGTAATATTTCGCACCACCTTATCTCCCTAAATAGGATCTGCATTCGGTACTGTCTCAATTTGCAGTTTCCACAGCAGATTTTTTTTAAACAATTCCCTTCCAATACACTTCTCCCCGACTACAATCCAAAGTCTTGATTCCCTGTGTGAACTGTGAGGCTGCCGTTGTGGATCGGACCATCAGCTATATCAGCATGTCCTGAGGTGTAGTGGTGGAGTGGAGGGCCTCCGCCCTGAGGGGCCCAGGAGACAATGAGACGGGGACACACAAGTGTTCTACTGATTAGACATGGAGACGACCAGCGCTCTCACTCTCCTCTCAACACACTCTTAAGACACACACCCCCACGCAGCCAGCCGGGAGCCAGCCATGCAGGCTCTCTCCCTGGCTTTTTCTCACTGTCTTTCCCTCTTGCTCGCTCGCTCCATGCTTTCCCCCCTGGTCTCTCCCTCCCTCCTCAACTCATGCACTCTCTCTCTCTCTCTCTCTCTCTCTCTCTCTCTCTCTTTTAAAAGATTATTGTACACCGTGTTTGAGGAGTCAAGAGCGGGCCAGTTATATTCAAGTTCATCAAATGAATGAAAACAATACTGGACATAAATCCAAGTGCAAACACACACACACACACACACACACACACACACACACACACACACACACACACACACACACACACACACCCACAGACCATCATAGCCTGGTGAGTCACAACAGCACTCCACACCATGGAATCCTTCATATCAACTGGTGCTGTCTTGTTGCTATATTTACCCCACTACAACCCCTGAGACAAATACACTACTCTCTCATTTCCCGCACTTGGCCCTTTATCAAATCAGGGCACGTTAAACAATCACACAGAGCAGTTTTTACTGACAGCGGAGGCATTTCTTTTTTTTCTTTTTTTTGCATGTGAATGGCTGTGGCTAAATGTAATTGTATAGCCTATACTGTTTGTATCCATGCTTGTGTGTGTGTGTGTGTGTGTGTGTGTGTGTGTGTGTGTGTGTGTGTGTGTGTGTGTGTATTTATGTGAGAGAGCTCCCTTGCTCTTCTTTTCTCTCTAAGGACTTGCCTTTGTTACATGTTAGGAGTGCTCAAAGAGCAGGGCGCACACAGCACCGCACCAAAGACAACAGCCATCAGGAGCAACAGCAGATAAAAGACCAACTTCAAAGACATCAAATGGAGCGAAAGTGAAAAAGAAACCTGCTGAAAACTCCCTCCAATAGCACTCAGACCAGCAATTAGGACGCCATATCGCTGGCTGTTATCACATGCGTGCACTGTATAGGCCTGGGTGGCTAACCGCAGCACTTGGTGTGGGTTGCAGTCAGCGGAGAATTACAGCATTCATACAGCTCGCACTGTATTTAATTTCACTGTAGGATGAAAAGTGGGTGTTCACACAGATTTGACCCCTGCTATGACCAGGGAGGCTTAACCGTGGTGATTACAGACACAGAAAAACAACAGTCTATCTCCAGCTCCTTCTATTCAGCAGCTAAGTAGAACAAAACAAAACAGAGGTCAGAACAAAACAAGAAGTCTAATTGTTTCACTGTTTCCTGTTTAGGTGCCCTGGGGCAATCTACACATTTTTATGTACTGGGTGCATTTTATTTGTTATTAATTCATTTCCAGTTGCAGCTGGTTTGCAGATTAGGGAGATAACATAATGTATAACTCCCTGCCCTGGGAGGGAGACATAACAAGGGTGTATGTGTTGAGACCTGTGGGCACTAGTAGCTCTGAGGGGATTTTATTGTTTCCACCGAAAAAAGGTGACATTTGGTGTATTGTGGAAGCACTGGGGTGGGGGGGCTGGGTGAGTTTGTGTGCATTTTTGTGTGTATGAGTTTATGTGCGCATTGTGGTCTGAGAGAAAAAGAGAACAAAATGAAATTCTAAGACACAGAGAGAGAAAGAGGGAGAGTGATGAGGGGCACACAGTAAATGTTAAACATTTGGCCCATGCCGCACTGTATTTACAAGCTGGTAAGATCCAATCATCTGTGTGTGAGTATAATCGAGTACTTGCTGTTCAATCATCAGATGTTTGTACACAGACTCTTAAATTACAAAAAGCCTCTTGGAAACACAGGCCTAACTCATCTCATATTGATTGTATTCACGCTGTCTGAAGTTTACAAAATGTCATTTTAAAATGTCATGAAATGACAAAAAAGCCGACAAATCACCCAATATTTGTATCAGGATGCTCAAGTGTCTTTTTAATGTGGGTAAATCCGGGGAGGTCCAGGATCATTCATTCTGGGGCTAAACGCTTTTTCAACATTCTGTCCAGGGAACCATTTATGACCATTTATATATCTGTCAACCGCATTCGAATGCTCTTGGAACTGGTGACAGACATGTGTGGTCAAGGCAAAGTTTAGATGTGATGGAAAATAGCCCCTGGTTTTCAGTGTAAGCATCAATCACCTGTGTACTGTAAATGTTACACTCATAAAGCTGTTAGTTGTTTTCACATAGCCATAAATCTACATATGTGCAGTATAAAAATCAATGAATCTTACTGATGTTAGAAAACATACAACTCTGTGATGGATATGCTGGTTGCAATTTAGTTACAGTTTTTCATTCGGTAGTTGCATACAAACACATCATAACTTTATGAGAAATGTATTGTGATTTGTCTGAATGTGACCTAAGGAATGCGTAAACATTAACAGAATGTTATATTTATGATATGAAATTGCCCAGAACTATTGGCAAATGTGTCCAAAGGCAAAGTTTATTATGGGAAGCATCCAAAGAAACTGAAAATGTGCCATATTTATTATGATAATGTAAAGTTGATTATTTATGTTAAAAAAACCCACAAGATTTGGATTCCTTAGACTCATTTAAGATAGCAAACTATTCTGTAGTACCCATCTGTTCAAGTTAGTTAAAGATATATAGGCAAACTATTTCTTAAAGATCAGACAACCTAACTCTGTTATTGACTATTTTTCTCAAGCACATCTTTTCTGCTTACCAAAATCAGTTATTGCTGTAATAAAGAAGAGTAAAAAGAAAAAAAACTGCCAAAGGAAAGAAAGAAAAGTGTTATACATCATCCCCTTGTTTCCTGTCAGCTCTCTACTGTCACTCCACCCCACGCCACAACAAATACAAATTAATAAACTAAATAAAATACAGCTAACAAGACAATTTGTTAAGGCAAAGTGTTATTGTATCATACTTTATATTATAGGATTATCATTACTAATGCATTAATGTGTAAAGTAGCATTTTACTGTTATAGCTGGTTGAGGTGGAGATAATTTGAACTATTTTATATACTGGTTGTATCCATTATGTGTTTTGTATGTAAA